CTGAGGGAAGGATGTGCTGATCAGTTGATGAACTTTGAGGAAACATCATGGGAAAATTTTGGAACCTCTTCACAACAGTTTTCTATACTTTGAAAAAAGAACAACGTAGAACACGGTTTAATACAAAACAGTGCTAAAGATAGTGTGGTCAGTCGGATGACTCTAAAACACCAACGTTTCGCTCCGCATCTCAAGAGAACTCTTCAAGGTAGGTGGTTGGTAGTCCGCAGCGGTTGACGGTTTCCTAACCACAAGGCCTCCTGGTCAACCACCCACCTACCTTGAAGGAGGCCCGTGAGACAGGCCAAAACGTCGGTATTGATCAGTCACCCGATTGACCACCTTAGTTTTTGCGTTTAATATTAAACCGCGTTTTGCATTAATTTTTCCAGTATGACTATTAACTCACTATTATTTCCTATGCTCTATCATTGGAAACATAGTGGTTTATAATTTTCTTGCCGGTAGGCCAGTTCGATCGATTCCGGCAAAGGCTGTCGGACAGCCGGAAGAAATGCGCAGACTTATTATAATTGTAATCAGGTGGTCATGTGACACTGACGGCGGAAATGTACTCGTTTGCGTGTTAATTTATGTTAGCATGTTCTGGAACCTGTACAGTTCATGCTCGCAAATGGCGAAGGGCCCATTGTGTGTGTTCATGTACAAAAATTTATGAAAACTTATAGCAATACCGTACCGTGAATGACCGGAAGCAGACATAGCTTCCAGTTAAATAGTTAGCAGAGAGGAAGTCACAGAAGACCCAACTGTCAATCAGTTAAGCACCAGCTGACCGTACGTAATTCGATGATGACTGACACCTGATCTGTCTAGAAACTTAACCACTACTAAATAAGAATATTTCTCTGTCTTTTGTTCCGACATAATTAGAACACGTGTTTGGATACAGCTATATAGTTTGCAGTTTTCCTCGAGTATAAGTTAATATGATGAGAATGAAGGACAGACGATGGACGAAGACTACATTCGACTGGTAGCCATGAAACTCAGGGAAAGTTCGAGAAAACCTTTGGCGCGTTACATCGATCCCTTGTGGAAGACGTACAGCAAAGCGCGAACGGGCGAAGCACTGGAAAGAAAATAATGGTGCAGTCTTTAAAGTGTCAAAAGTAAGTTTCAGTTTCACTTTGATAATTGGCGTGTTCATCTTTTTTGTTAATGTATTCGATATTCGTAATTTGTCCCAAATTTCGCTTACTTATTCTTCTCGTTAGATTCCTCCTCATCTCTATCATTCATTTTGCCCCTCCGCCCAGCATCGGAATGCAATGGGAGTCATTGCTTCGAGTTCACGAGTTGATATGACACTTCCCCTAGCTGCTAGATGCTTCCGGTCATGATTCTATAACATTTGACTACCTGCTCAGCATGGATGAGAATCCACATCATCAAGCTGAACTGGACCCATTCGAAACTCAACATCAGAAATAATTATTTGTTCATGTTCACAACCCCCTTGCCCACTCGTGCAGCAGCGGCAACCACTTCAAGAGGGTTATCCAATGGTTCGGATCCTCATCCAAGCTGGTAAGTTCCATGAGCTGAATTCCAAGAGACGATAAATTTACCACTATATCCATAATCGAGTTTCCTGGTTTGCAGATTGTTCCTGGATCATCTTCCAAGTGGCTTTAGTTGACCAGCCCATTGTGCAAATGCAACCTTCTCTGAAATACTTTTAATCTGTTAACATTTACCGACAGATTGTGGTGTACACTACTGCCACAGGGTCGAAG